TATTCCCTGCTCCAAAGGTTGCCCAATGCTGCCATCATGTGCCTGGGCCCTGGGATGCTGCCACTGCACAGCTCCAGTCCTCACAGAGAGGAGAGAGGCAGATCCGACCCTGCTCAGCTCACACCTGAGTGGGGGAGAGCCACAGCACTATCCTGCCACCACCAGCTCCCAGAAAAATCCCCATCCCCAGCCGATGGAAAAGGGCTGAGGATCTGTGCCCATCACTGGTGGTCCCACAGCAAACAGGAGTGCAGAGCAGCACAGGCACTGCAAATCACTCAGTCCTTTCCCTGTGCCTCCTCCCTGACCCATACATCCAATATCTGAGTTTTCTTGGAAGTAAAGGGGGGGGGAAATGTGGATCATTACCTTCAAAAAGCTCTGGAGATCATCTGTGCTGTAGACATCGAAGACTTCCATCACTCCAGCACTGGCTTTGCTCACTGTTGGAGTCAAGGGGCAACTTGCAAGGGGAAAAAGAAAGGAAAAATGTCATATGAGAGCAAAAAAGGAAATTCGGGTGAATTGCTGTTGCTCTATTTCCTTCTCTTGCCTCTGCAACCCTACTCCACCCAGTCCACTACAGCTCCTGCTCACTGTACACATCTATTCTCCTATGGAAACAGGAGGGCTCAGAAATTAAACCAGGCAATAGGTCACAGCAGGTTTGTGCAGGTGGCACAACTGAAACACAAAACGGGTTAAAACAAGAACCAGCCAGGGAGGGTCCTTACCAGCCTGGAACATCACACCCCACAGCAGAGCAGCACCTGAAGCAGCCAGGGAGGTTCCTTACCAGCCTGGAACACCACACCCCACAGCAGAGCAGCACCTGAACCCAGGCCCAGAAAGCTCTTCCAACAGCTGCTGAGTGATGCAGGCTGGAAACCTCCCTGGGAGACAGCAGGGAAGGAAAGAGAAGCTGCAGGAGCAGTTTCCCAAGCCCATACCTGTTCCTCTGGCTTGTCACCACTCTGTCCACCCCCAGGAAGTAGGCAGAGCGCAGCAGTGCCCCCAGGTTCATGGGATCCTGGATCTGCTCCAGCACCAGCCAGATCAGCTGTCGCTTTGTGCTCTCTTCATCCCCCACATCAGGCTGCTCATCTTCCTCCAGACTCTTGTAGCAGAGAGGAGAGGCCTCCAAACACACTCCCTGGTGGACATGACCTTTGCAGAGAGCATCCAGCTCTCTCCTTGGGACATGGTGCACGGGGACACCACGAGCTGTGGCCTGGAGGACAAGCTCACTGGTCACCAGGCGCCGAGGGCCACTGCTCTGCTTGAGGAACAGCCTGAACAGGTCCCTGCGGGACTGGGTGAGCGCCAGGGAGCACGGGGAGATGCCAAACAGGATCTCCGAGCCCTTAGTCCTCTCCACGAACAGAGGTTTTGGCTCCAGCCTCTGCC